CTGGCATCGTCGGCTGTTTTTCACTTAAGCGCAGATAAAACGTCTCTCCATCAATTCCCGGCTAATGTGGCTCTGCGGCGGTGGCACTGTGTCAATGCGGCAGCTCTTTATATTTCCATTAAAAATAGCAGGTGTTGTTGTGTTGAAACGTCTTACTGTGAAAAAAAAATCTGCTAAAATGTAGGGCACAACGTATGGCCGACACAGTCGCAATGGTGTGACACAAGGAGAGGATTTGAACCAACAACCAACTGTGGTGAGTCAGCTCAAATAGAAAAAAAAAATTAACCTGTTTGTCTGACACTGATCCACAGAAGTCTGCAGGAATTATAGACAAAGTGGTTAGTGTCCTCGCCTTACAGAAGATGGTCACCGGTTCGATTCCTGATGCAGAACCTTTCTAGTCCTGATGATCAGTACAGTTTTTTCTAATTTACCTGAAGGTGAAATAATCTTATAAATCTGGAGTCAAACCCACAACCTCTCCAGATGTAAGGCAGCTGCAGCCGCCCCTGTTGTGTGAACAGGTTTACTCCAGACACACGATCAGGGACGACTGTTCACTCTGAACTTAGTGAAGGTGTGAATGTGAGTGTGAATGGTCGTGACCCCAGGAAGGACGGTAGAGTTGTTGGGGGTGTTAAGCCCCGCCCCCTCCTCACCTGATGACTGATGGGATTGGCTCCACCCCTTCGTGACACTTAAGACATAAAAGAAGAATGAAGCGGGCAGGAAAAAGAAAAGAACTCTGACTTGGCTCCCTACACCAGGAGGGGGCAGTAAGGGACAGTTTAAGAATGCGTCATGAACACGTTTGATGTTCATTTTTATATTTTGATACATTTCCAGGTGTGAGACGAGACGTTCTCTCTGTCAGGGTTTTGGTTCTGGTTCTGGTTCTGGTTCTGTTCAGGGAATCACTGACGTTCAAACACATGAGGCTGGTCTGTGTCGCCGTCTTCTCTGCCTCTAATTTCTCCTTTTCTCTTTGACACAGACACACACACACACACACACACACAGACACACTACCAGACCTGTTATTGGCCTACACTTGCTCTTACAGCTTGGTGTCAGCATTGCATCGACACACGATTTTTAGCAGAACGTGATTTTTCTTCCCTCCTCTGGGATAAAAATAACCAGGTCTGGAAAAAGTTTATTCATTTAATTACCTGGTGGCTGCAGCAGCAGGGCCCTAAATGGGTTGTAGCCCAGAACAGGCATGTCTGCAATGCCTGGCTCAGTGGGTGGGTGAGGTAGAGGAGGGTGAGGAAGAGGAGCAGGACAGAGAGGGGAGGGGGATGATGAAGAAGAAGAAGAAGAGGAGGAGGAGTGACATGTGACTCCTGCAGGAGGATCAGTCAGAAAACAGCACCGAGAAGAGGAGAGGGAGGAGCAGAATGTTGTCTGTGTCTTGGACAGCTCCGTCAACAGTTCTCCCCCTCTCTCTGCCTCCCCTCTCTCCCCCCCTCCCTCCCTGTGATTAAGCTCTCTCTGTTTATGTTCATATCCTGTCACATCTCTCCTCCTCTCCTCCTAATTCCTCTTTTCTCCTCTCTTCCCTCGCTCTTGTCTCTTTGCAGCTCAGCAGGTAAAAGGATAAGAGGAGACAGAGTGGAGGAGGAGGAGGAGACAGAGAGGAAGGGAGGGAGGAAGACGGAATGAAAGGCCAGGAGTGGGTGAAAATGAAAGGAATCTGTCGTTTCTCACCGGGATTAAGAACCGATCTGACTGATCCCGATGAAGGTACGGAGGTTTGGAGGGAACACAGAGCGAAGTCTGTGACAGTAACGCTGGAGCGACGACGATGTCGATGACACCGACGTCGACTTTGGTCTGTGATCGTTACTGTTATGATCAGGGGAAAACGTCATCAAAGAAACAGAACAGCTGAATTTAAAACATCTTTTTTAGATTTTATTAGAATTTAAAAAAATTAGAGAGGTCCCATATTCACTTTTTTCCGATATCTGATATACCGATATTGTCCAAAGACTTAATTTCCAATTCTGATATCAACCAATACCGATGTAGGCCTGGTAATATTTATGTATTTATCTGTTCAAACCACTGTATGAGTTCCTGACACCAACATTCTCCATACAATCCTCTGATTATTAAAATAGATTAATAAAATGAGCTGCAATGCTGCCATCTTGTGGCTTTCACTTACATATACAGCCATTTTTCCCCAAAACTATTTGTAGGGCACACATCATTTGACCAAACCCAAGCATTGTGTTATCGAGTTTTCATTATCGGAGGAAAAACTGATAGCGAGTCTTACAGATATTACATAAATATGCTAATATCGGTCGACCACCAGGACACCACTGCCTCCTTGTATCGGTAACGGTTGATATCAGAATCGGAAATTGTTTGGACAACTTTTTTGCCGATGTCAGATATCGTCAAAAAGTTCATATCAGACACTTCTTAATAATAACTGTTATTGTTATTGTTGTTAGTGGTAGTTAATCAAACTGATGACATCACTGATCTGAGGAACAACAAACTGTGAACACTGATTAATCTGCTCATTAAAACTTTTGATCTTTCTTTGATCTGCTCACCTCCTGATGAACCTTTGAGTCGTTCACATGTTTGTGAACATCTGTGTGTCTGGTTAATGTGCTCACTGCGTTTGTGTGTGTGTGTGTGTGTGTGTTGTAGATGTAGGTAGATAAATCACCGGTGGAGATTACAGCTTTTTTATTATTCATGATGAAGGCCTTTTATTGCCAGTGATATTTATCTCTCGACTTTCTCCCCCTGACCTGCAGGAAAGAGAAGGATGAGGGAGGAGGAAGAGGAGGAGGAGGAGGAGGAGGAGGAGGAGAGGGAAGGTACTGTGTTCCTGCGTTGGGAGGTTTGGGGGAGGTGGGAGGCTTCAACAGGGCCGTACATAAATACATTTGTTAAGTAGGCGGGTGTGTGTGTGAGCATCTGTGTGTGTGTTCTGTCAGGACCTGCAGACTGTCGACATCCTGACTGGGACACATTAGTCAAACTACATACAGCCAATCACAACATAATTAACTATAATTAACAATAACTTTTGTTTTTATGCAAAGAAACTTTAGATATATTTGATCATTATTATTATTTATTCATATTTAATGAGAAATAATTTTACCAAAAAGTTATTTTTTTTATTTTCAAAATGTGTCAAGTGAGCTGGATTGAACACCTCAGCGGGCCAGTTTTGGTCCACGGGCCGTATGTTTGACGACCCTTTTTTAGATAATGTTTATTGTATATTATATATATTTTCTTCTTTTTCTCCTGAGTGTCATTTTAGAAATCATCGTCTTCTTCTTCTTCGTCTCTCTCTCTGTAAATCTGCGTTTGGTTCATTTTGAAGTGCACCCAGGATTGAAGGAATTATTGATGAAGATCCTCGACCCACTTCTGCCTCACGCGCCTCCGCTTGGATTTTCAAAAGGGTTTTAACAAAATGCACCCCGCGTGAAATCTACAGGGCTTTTATTTCACGTGGCGACGCCATTTTAACTAAGTGGTCCCCGAGATATTGTCGTCTCTCTGACTCCATCACACACGCGCACACGCACGCACTCTTACGCAGTCAGGTGAAACTAAAGAGGAGCATGTGTCGCAGGTCAGCCTCCCTTTCACCTCACAGGTGGCAGACACAGCTGTCGTGCTCAGGCTAGCGTGCGTGTCCACGTGCACACGCGCACACACATGGTCACTCGTTAAATGGATTTGAACGTAGCTGTGAGTGAACCAAAAATTACGTTTTTGGACAATATCGGCCAGTTAAAAAACGAATGTCATGATCTCTGAGTTTTTACGGCCTGACGAGTCGTCTTTACAAACTTTCACTGTCACTTTCAGAGTGTGACTGTAGTGAAGTACGACTGGGAAAGGAAGGAAATGAAAGCACCGACAACACACCAGCACCGACAGACAAGTAAGATCACACACACACACACTGTCTACTGACGCAGTGAACCACTGTGGGAGTTTTCACTGCCATTGTTGACTTTTAATATTTTGACTTTTTAATATTTCCTCTGACGGCTGTTTGACAAGTCAACCTCAACTTGACATTTATTTATTTATTCCTTTTTGTGAACGGTGACGACTTGACAATCGGCCGCGTCCAGGAAACTGTCTTGATAACTGAGCGTCGTTGTCTTCTTACACACACACACACACACGTGCATATATTTCTTCATCACCGCAGACTGACAGCGCAGGAGTCGGGGAGGGGGGCGTGGGGTATGACAGAACAGCTAAGGGCCCGCAGTCCCAGGGCGTGAGACTCCTTCACTTCACTTCGTTCTTCCCATGACGTCACACAATGAACTTTAATAAAGACAATATTCTTTTGATGCATTCGTCTGGACTCCAAATAATGAAAAATATTGATTTGGAACTCCTTCAAGTCGATGTTACTCTCGGTCTTTGGGGGAACTCAACCCGGAGACGAGCTGATTGCCAGGATGTGATTACGAGGCCTGCAGCACCCTCCAGTGGCTGAAAGCGGCAACACTGACTCAATGAACTACTGTATATAGACACATTTTGTGGGAATTAACAGTTCCACGGAGACAGTTCTTTGTTTTTAAATGACCTTCTTCTTCTTCTTCTTCTTCTTCAAGACCCAACATAAGACACCTCCACCTCCATCAGAATTTCCCAGCAGTCAGTCAGAACTGAAAAAGCCTATTGGATGAGAGGTGAAACGTCTTAAAAAAAAACCTGCTTCGTCCAGTTGCCCTCGATGTAACTATTTTTGGATTAAATGACCTGGATGACTGAGAACCCACACAGACATATATATAGTATGTACAGTATATACCACGTAGTGTGGCTCTAACACACACTCATACACACACTCAGCTTCCTACATTCTTTGACTCTCCTGTGACTCCTTTGATGTCACTGTCACTATCAGCGCATTCTCAGAACAAAAGGTGACATTAAATTATATTTTATGTTATATTATTTGTCTGTAGGATAGAAGAGAAACAGTGTCAGGGGCGATGTTCACAAATGACCAGGAGGTGGTAGTAATGCTGCGATCCATGCAAGGACCCAAAGAAGGACCAGGTTAGTGGAGGAGACCAATATAAGGACCCACAGAAGGACCAGGTTAGTGGAGGAGACCACGACGATCCCATAATAACATGGGTTCGATTGTTAAATTGATCTATTTCGAGCTCGAGCGTGACAAAAGTACAACAGTAATAGTACTTTGGTGTTAAAGTTGCTCTATTTCAGATTTTAAATTCAGATTTAACAGCCAACGACTGGTTTAAAACTTCCTAAATATTAGATATGGTACTAAAATGTGCCACAAAAACTGAGAATTTTTTAAAAGAAGAACTTAAAAATAAGTTTAAGTCATTCCAACGATACCTTAGTGAAAAACGCCACATTTTACAGTAAATTGTAAATATGAAATAATAATATTAATTTCCTAGTTGAAACTCCTCCATAAATGAAAGAACGCTGAAGTTTATTTTAGTTTAGGCATGAAACATTTTTATGTTTTTTTTGGTATTTTATTAGTGTTATTAGTTTAAATATTTATTTATTAACGAACTAGTTTCCTATATCAGTTCTATACCCGTGTGTAGTCACGTGTTATAGACACAAAAATTCACGTGTTTTTATTATTTAAATTGTTTTAATAAAAACCTCGGTTTGGTCGCATAACAACACTGGTAACTTCGTGTTTACATTTCACAACACTGATAATCATCTGTGGACTCGCCGTTCTTCAGCGTCTGTCGTCTTTTGATGACGTAATTACTGGGACTTTCCGCATACGTCACTCGGGGCTTCCGAGTTCTTTAGCTAGCTCTGTCTACATATGTCTTCATGTCGTTAGACACACAAAACTACGCCGTGTCCGCTCCGGAGTACTTTACGTAAAACACCATGAAAACACCAGAGGCTCCGTACGTCACCGGAAGCTTCGAGAACTGAGTCTAGGTCGGCGGGAGCGGTGCTCAGACTCAAAAGCGGGATGTCAACAACGCGGCCCCTGCTCGGGATGAGGCGAGTCACCGAGCTAACGTTGTCCGAGCAGCCCGGCGCCAGGCTCCCTGCGTCAGCAGGCAGGCAGCCACCGGAGGCCGCCACTACCAACACCACTAACACAACCTCCATCACCACCACCACAGCCGCCGCCGCCGCTGCTGCTACTACTACTGCTTTAGCTTCCGGGTCAGTGTCTGGCCCTGCCGCGCACGTGGGGGACGCTTC